TCTGAAAAGCGAGGTGTGCTCTGATTGGCCAGCTATCCAGTGCGTTGTGATTGGATGAATTCCTCTAGCGCGTGACGGAAATGTTATGCCACTTAACATACTGTGATGCAGAGTCCCAGCACGACAAGACAAAACCAACAAAACGCATTACAAATGAGGCATTTGTTGCATCCAGTGGGCACATAATTACTGATTATAATGACTTCTACTGTCTTTTTAGTGTTGCCTTGCGTATCGCGCTGCATAAACATAAAGCCATGTCTGCATTTGTGATCGGAGAAACGACAAACAACAAGCGCTACTCTACATTGCTCAAAACTCGCGTTTGAATCATCAGTGGCAAATCCTTTAAATATGTAAATGTACTTACAGACTGTGAGTCAGAAGCACCAGACTGTCCTTGCAAAGTTGGAACTGCCCCACTTTATAGAAACAGCCATTGTGCACAGCCTTCCCAGGATCAAGTTACGCCTTCTTTCTTTGCGTGAACATTTGGGCGGCGTTATGCAAATCTTCCCACATCGTGACGTAGACATATGGGGGTGTGTTAGAACGAGCCGTTTTAGGTAGGCGTGGTTAACTCTTAACTTTTATAAAGAATATCTCTTTGGTTTTGAGACTTTAGTCTTTGCAACTTTACAGATCTTCTTTATGCACCAAGAGCTTGTAACACTCCAAAGAGAAAGGAACAACTGAAATCGCATCATATGACCCCTTTAAAAAAATTTTTTACATTTATGTGTCTATTTGTATAAAACTGTTTTTAATTCAGCTCCACATACTTAATGGTCACCTCCCTATTGTAAATAAAGTCTGGACAAAGGTCAGTTTAGTTAAGTGACCGAGTTTACTCAGAAGTGTCATTGACGTTGAGGAAAACGCAATGACCCATAGTCACAATGGACTTCATAAATCATTCATTAGACATTCATGCTTCAGTGAAAGCCTGTCATAATCATTACAGACCGTGTCTGAACACTAACCTGTTACCTAAAGCAGTAAAATGCCAATTTTTCTTGATGTCATACTAAACCAAGACTTTGCACACACCAGCTTCATAAGTGAATTGTAGGTAGGTCATTATGAAAGGTGCATTTTCCATTTTGATAAGGTGTTTTTATTTTATTTAAAGTTTCAGATATTTTTTTTCAGATAAATGTTAAAGTATTAATAAATAGCATTGTGTCATTTCGATTTTTAAAATGTTCACTTTTCATAATTTGCCCCAACAAAGTTAATGGTAACATTAAATAATGTAATGGTAAATTTGATCCAACAAGCCTTGTGCTTCCAGGTCATGAAAATAAAAGGCGTATGTATGCATGCATGTATGTAAATTAACCGTGTTTTTATTAACATTTAAAATTAGCTTTTAGTTTTTTCACTTTTAAGACAGATTAATTACACAATTAAGACAAATCCAGTTAGTTATTAGTTAATAATAATAATAAGAGTTTTGGTGCTTGTTTCTGTAAAGAAAACCTAAAATATTCTCATTTTTATTTCCATTTACTCAGAATGTGTGCAATTGCTCATAGGAACACTGAGGACAGGCCAAAAGGCGTCCACATCAAGTTATTTTTGATAATGCATTTAGAAGAATTAACTGTATGTGTATTACTCAAACGGCGCCTGGATTGTACAGTGACCCAGCTGATGTTGTGCTAAAACCTCATGTTACTAGTACACAGCGTTCAACACCTTTGAATGTGGTCAGCTGACCTCAGCAGTGCTGGCCTTTGCAGAACGTGATCAGGCAGCTCTGCTAGGAGAGCCTTAACGTCTCAGTCTCTACCCTTCAGTCCTGTCCTGCCCCAGCCAGAGACTCGTGCCTCCTTCCTCACCCCTGACCACCTCTTCTGCAGACCTTTGACTGGAATGTATGACCGATGCACGCCAATTCAGACAACATGCCTTCTATGACAACCTCAGGGATGGAGATACAGCACTGGAAAGAACAGGGTACATGCTTGTTTTGCCCTAAAAAGCCTGAAAATGGACAAAGGAGACCATTTTTCTGCTTGCTTTGTCCATAAATGTTATTGGGTAAAGCTGTGAGTAAGTTTTGCTCAGTTTTGAGGTCTTGCTTGCAAAGGTGCTCGTGGGAGAGAATGTTCTAGTTGCGCTGAGTATATAGTCTGGGGTGTCTTGATTACAAAGCATATTGCAGCGGCAAGCATTTATCCCTCTGCTAGAGAGTTCTCTTGGCAAACTGCCTGTTTGTGGCACAGAATGTTGTACTGACTGCATATTCTGAATTCAGTGCATTTTTGAAAGAAGTTAATGAATATGATGCAGCGTGTCAAACTATTTCCCACAACTTGAGGAGTCGAGGCAATATGAGGAGCAATTTATTGTTTCTAATTAGATTTCTTTTGTGTTGGCATCATTAAGCACTTTGTCTTGTAGCTCTTCTCAGATTCTCGGAAGGCGAGGCAGTGCTGTTTAAATTGTTTATGCAAGCTGGCACTGATTGTGGCAATGAAATCAAGCTGGGAACATGTAATGAAGGGTGACGTCTATGCTAAACTTTTGTGAACCCTGAATGCTGGCTTATGAAAGGGTTTCCTGGATAGACACACCTACAGTGCCTGACTTTAGGATCGAATATGGCCGTTTTGGGTCAAGATTCACTTTTTTGCCTTTCATGAGTTCCAGTTGAATTATAACATTTTTAGCCAATTTTATGTAAAAGTTATAAAATGGCTGGTTATCATTTTTTTTTTCTTTACGTTTTTGGTTTCTAGGCTTCCCCGAGTAGGCTAATATATATTTATTGTAGGTATTTTTGCTGCAGTGACAATTAATGATAAACATTTAATATACACTACTGTTAAAAGGTTTGAGAGCAGAACTAACTCTCTCTCTCTCTCTCTCTCTCTCTCTCTCTCTCTCTCTCTTAAATATATATATATATATATATATATAAATATAAATATAAATATAAAATTTATTTATTTATTTATTTTTGGAACACATTAAACTGTTCAAACGTGACAAAGACAAGGTGTTACTTTTTACTTCAAATAAATGTTCTTTTGAACTTTCTATTCATCACTGAATCCTGGGGGGGAAAAATAATTCAAATGTCTACAAAAATATTAAGTAGCACAACTTTTTTTCATCATTGACAATAAGAAATATTTATTGAGCACCAAATCAGCATATTATAATGATTTCAAAAATACCATGTGACAGACTGCAGTAATAATGCTGAAAATGTTGCTTTGCCATCACAGGAATAAATTACATTTTAAAATATATAAAAATAGATAACAGGTATTTTAAATTCTAATAATACTAAACAATATTACTTTTTTTTAACCAAATAAATGCAGAGATGTTTTTTCCAAAAGCATTAAAAAAATCAGGCCAACCTATGGCTGTCTAGCAATCCGTGTTGGACATAAAATAAATGAATACATTTTTAGTTTAAAAAAAGGTCAGCTGGCCAAACGTGTTTGTTGCTGTTTTCCCTGAGATGCACGCACGGTCACTTTTATTTTGTATCTGATCGGCTCAGTGCTTTTCTTGATCTGAAATGTGCTGGATTACGCAGGGACTTTTGTTTTGAAATCATCAAATTTGACCGGAACTGCCATTTGTCATTGGTTCTGCGTGCTGCTCGTGTGTTCTTGGCCCTGGCTGTCTGATCGCAGATGAGCGAGATGGATTCCAAACAAGGTTAGTTAGTGAGTTAGACCGTTAAACGCTCTGTAATTGCGTCCCTCCTCCAGGCGTCACATTTGATTTATGCGCATTTACACTTCAATTCGTGTTTACACGCACTGTCGTTGGTTTAGGATGAAATCATGATGATAAAATGCAGTTTTTATTGCGGGGGGTCTTGATGAGTCCGCAGGACTTAACGTGTTTTCAGACGTGCATTATAACAGTACACATTAACATGAATATTTCTGAGCGGATATGTATGCATTATGCGTTGGTTTTCGAAAATGTGATTCATTAATACTTTGTGAACGGTTCAGTTTCGATAAGCTTGTGCAACGGTCTGTTAGCAAGAGTACAAGAGGAAGGGCAGCATGTTCTGCTGAACGAACCCAAGTGCTTCTGAGTTATTGATTAAATGCATCGGCTTTTTGGATGGATGATGTTTGTCTTCAGAAATGCAGTGAGAGAAGATACCGCATGTTTGTTTACCATGAACTCTGATCAGACATATTGGCACATTTTGTAGATTAGGTTTAATTATTGAAGGGTCCTTGACTGACTGGGAGGTTTCGGTCCTATTTTTATCCTCCCTCAGCATTAACAGACTAGTAAAGTTTGCTGTAAAGTCAGAATTCAACATGATGGAGTTATTTTCTGTTTCTGAAAGGAGTTTTGGTGTTCAATGTGGTCACAAATAATTTGTATATTGAAATAATCTGTTCCATATGCTCATCTGGGAAGCCACCAGCACATCTATAGCAGATTTCCACATATTTATTAAAAACGGAGCACGTTTACTTGCACATCACTTTCTGATTAAAATCTGTATTCGGTCTAAGCCTCTACTAAGAAAACTAGTGATTTAATACTCGACAGTTATTAAAGCATTTCTGCATTTGTGTGCAATCAACATATTTCGAAATGAAAAAGGCCAGGTATTCATAGAGCGTTATTTTGGCCAGTCTGATTCAGTGATTAATATTGGCAATTTTGAGATGATCAGAATTGGTTAATTAACTGCCTGATTGGACATTTTAACTGAAGTACCTAAAACTGTATTAAACCAAAAGTTGGTTTTATATTTCTGCTTGCAATGAATATTATAATGAAAAGGAATTGAGTTAAATTACTGTGCAGAATTACTATAAAATTATTTTATGAAATAAATACATTATAAGAATTAAATAATAGTGTTTAAATTCAGCAAAGTTGTATATATTAAGTAATGTTTTTAGAGGTTTTGTGTGTGTGTGTGTGTGTGTATATATATATATATATATATATATATATATATGAAATAAAATACAATTCAATGACAAGTGTTTAAATAAAGCAATTTTGTATTTTTATATAGAGAGTGTGTATATAAAAAAATATATTTCTAACGAAGTTGCTGAATTTAAACATTTAAGCATCATTTAAAACATTGGTTTGTGTGTATAAAATATGTATTTTTATAGAACGGTTGAATTTAAGCACTTAAGCAAAATTTACTAAATATTTTTTACGTGTGTTTGTGTAAAAAAACATGCATTTTTTTTACAAAATTGCTGAATTGAAACACTTCAAGCAATATGTAAAAAAAATTAATGTATATATTGTAGTAATTTTACACAGTAATGTAACTCTGTTCTCGTTCACACACAATTTGAAAAATAAAGGTCATGAGACCGTTTACTGTTAACATGATTTTAAGAATGTTCATGTGCATGCAAAAAGTGTTCATTCCTTAATGCATTAAAGCAGAAAGTTGCATCATCTGACTGTTTGGGGCTGACGTAACTCCTTTCTGTCGGCAGTGGTGGACCTGTTGTATTGGCGAGATCTGCAGAGGACGGGGGTGGTGTTTGGAGCCAGTCTGTTCCTGCTGCTGTCCCTCAGCGTGTGCAGTATTATCAGCGTGATCTCCTACGTGGCCCTTGCCCTGCTGTCTGTCACCATCTCCTTCAGGATATACAAAGGCATTTTACAGGCTGTTCAGAAGTCAGAGGATGGCCACCCCTTCAAGTGAGGACCCACACGTATCACACACATTGTAGTGGCATCAGTCTCGTGCATTTCCACACCATGTTTTGTTCACTTTGCGTTGCCTGAGTGTAAAACGGTTAGGATAATCCTGCTTTGATCAGTTTGTGTTCCAGTTTCTGTAAGAAGGCAGATCTGTGGAGCTTAGCTTCTGGGCTTACATGAGGTGCTTGGTTTTGATTCCCTGCCAAAATTTTAAGCCTCGCTTGTGAAATAGAAAAAAAATCCAGCCACTTAAAGAACCTTAAAGTTGTTTTGGAAGCAAAGTGGTTGCAGTATCTTTTGTATCTCTTTGTTTCAGGCTCTGTTCCAAACCTAGTGAGCTGATTTGCTGTCTACTGCATAGTCGGCTACCTTCAAAGGCAACATCTTAATTGAAATGAAACCTCTTAAGTAGTACATTTGCAATGCTCTACATTGGCAGCAACTTTCTTGCTCTACACAAAAGAGGCTTCTTAAGCAAAGCGCACAGGAGTCCTGACTCACAGTTTGATGTTAGCTTGTTTATTTGAAAAAGCATATGGCTAATTGTTTTGAGATGGCCAAAACATAGACTCCGTTTGTTTAATGTGTAATAGTACAAATCTCATTGTAACTAATTCATGTTTTCTACAGCTTTTCTCTAAATGACAAAAAGAGAGAATTATTTACAATCGTATTCACTGCAGGAAAATAGCGGTAATAAAAAGCCATTTTACAGCAATTTGTATTTAAATGTTTTAAATGGGTAAAAATAACCGCAAGACAAGAAAGAATCATAAAACTAAGTAAATGGTGTGGTCTTTAAAAAAAACTTTATGGCTAACTAAAAAGTGCAAAACTTGGAATTGAACCAGTTGCTTAGCAAAATGATTGGCTGTTTGGAAGTGGTCAGAATGGTGTCAGTACGCAGGCCAAACATGCATAAAAACTCCTTTGACAAACCAATTGCAAATGTTTTATTGAAAGTGCAATCTATCAAATGCCATTAACCAATAATTTAATATCTCCAAAATCCAAACATAAAGTGTCTGTATAATTGTAGGGCTTGTTTTGTTTGTTGGGTAATCAAGCCAGTAAGACTTTATTAACTACAACACTTTTTTTTTTATTATGCAAATGTGTCATTTAAAAATGTCAAATACAAATTTGTAATACTCAACCGAGATCAGGTAAAAACCATATAGAGTAGAGATGCACCGATCGATCGGCCAGGGATCGGAATCGGCCGATTTTCCTCGTGATCGGCCCGGATAGGTGATCGGCCGATCAGTCTCACTTCTTTCCGATTCCGAGCCAATCCGTTTTGTTACCAGCGGCACAGGCAATAACGTCAGCCGCGCATTCTCGCTCTCTTCTCTCCGACGACCCCTTCTCTCTCACACACGTCTCATTCGCTCCGGTTAAATGCTTGTATTGCGCATTATTTTTGTCATTCCCGCAGGTTTCGCGCTTACACCAAAAGCGTGCACCACCACTGATCTATATTGGTGGAGCGCGCACAAGCCGCACTCCGTCTCAAACAGCTTGTGAGCCACAAATACCAAAATGAGTGGCTAACTGCGTTAAAACGTTCAAATACATACACAATTATGTCAAAATGTCCGTTTTGGCAAGTATCCAGTTAAACACAGTCAGTTTTGGAATGTTAAATAGTTGAGAAAGAGAACGCATGTTGTGTAACGGGCCTGTTTACACCTGGTCACTTCATGCGTTTTTTTTCTGATCGGATAGCTATCCGATCGTGAAAAGACCAGGTGTAAATGCCCTCCGAAACGCATTCGAGACGGATATAAATCCGATTGCTCAAACCACTTCAGGAGGTGGTCTGGGCCGCATTCCAGACGAAACTCGACAAGTGTAAATGCATCTGGTTGTTGAAACCACATATGTAAATTTTACTCCTCCCAAAATTATAAAATAATAAACGTGTGAGAGTGTGTTATAGGCTATATGACATTAGTCAGACTGCGCTAATGCAACACGCATCGCTGCTGGCGAGTAGCTGAGTATATCACTTGAGCAAGCCGACGCGCAAACTGCCACGAATGAAACTGAAAGTAAGATGCAGACAGTCAACACACAATCATCTTCATTAGAAGTAGTCAGACAAACTTATATTTCCAGTGCTGATGCCGCGCGCTCTCCTATTGCGCTTGAAATGAGCTGATAATTAATAAAATGCAGCGCTTATCTTTTGATTTCGTTGACGTGAACTCTATATTTATATTTATATCTATATATTTATATTTATCTATATCTATATTTCTATCTGTTTTGCGACGACACATTTATGTGGCCAAGTGTAAATGGAAACGTTTTTACAAATTAGATAGATATCCGATCAGCGAAAACGCATGAAATGACCAGGTGTAAACGGGCCCGATATTGGGTCCGTGGATAAACTCTTAAAGGGACCGCAGTCCCAATATTCCTGCTGCTATCTGTCATGTTAATCAAAGAACAAAAGACAAAGAAAATCACTTTCTGCTCTTTCTGCTCTTGACTGAATACGTTTTGTAACTTTAATGGTAAGCATTACTCTGTATTTAATTTCTGTAGTCTTCATTGTAAATATTAAAGTAATCAAATGTACATTTGATTTTACATTTGATTACTTTGATTTCTGTAGTATTTCTTACCTGAATAAAAACTTGCTTAACCTGAAAAACTTAGTTTCATAGCTCTCTTTATTCTATTGCATTTATTTGTGCTGTTGTTTGCGATTTATTATTATTATTTTTTATTTTTTTGTGTTCTTATTTTATTACTGACTTTTGACTTGTTTTTTTATGAAAATAAAAGTTTGCGTTGAAGAAAAGTAGATTTTTGTTTGTATATGCTGTCAATTATAGTTCTTAAAGAAAATCGGAATCGGCAAAAATCGGTATCGGCAGATCATACTAACAAAAAAATCGGAAATCGGAATCGGCCAAGAAAATTGCAATCGGTGCATCTCTAATATAGAGACTAGTTCATGGGTCCGGAGATCGCTCTCTAGCAACGAATCATTGAAATTTTGCAATGAAACGTTGTTTACTGAAGCCTTGTAATAAACGTAATGAAGCCTCGTTTACTGTTTACTAAATCATGCGATTTTGGCAGTTTAATACATGCTTGATCGCTGGTTTAAAACAAATGATTCACAGGTTTCGAAGTTTCACAAAGTTTCACGAAGCAGTGTTTCAAAAGCACCCATCACTAGTTGCTAACTCTCTAGGTTCTCCTCCTACAGGATGTATCTGGATCAAGATATCGGGATCTCTTCGGAGTTGGTTCATAAGTACAGTGACACGACTCTGGTGCACATCAACTGTGTGATTAAGGAGCTGCGACGACTCTTCCTGGTGGAGGATCTGGTGGACTCGCTCAAGGTTTGTTCTTCCAGGAGACCAGAGGAAATGAAAACCCGAACCTGCTGTTTTCAGCTTAGCCTCTTTTATTTGATTTGGGGCTCCATAACTGCTCTCAGGGTGAAGATTGGAAAATAAATCTTGTTGTCTCATGAGGCTGCTGAACAGTAATGCCTCTGTAAGCTGTACAGTTTATGCTAAATTTGATAAAAAGAGTTTTCTGAAGAAGTGGGCTAGAAATTGGCCAAAACAAGGAACTCAATACATATGTATATGAAAACAGTTCTGTTTATGAGATGTTGGATTGACAGATATGCATTTATATTACAGTCCGGCCAATATTGTGATATTTAAAAAAAATGTATGAGCTAGCTTAGCCAATTAAATGGACTGTTCAAAATCTGACATCCACTTAATTCCTTAATGCACACTTCTATTTTCTTGAGTAATTGAGTTACAATTTAGTTTTTTTTCTTTTTTTAAGAGTGAAATGTAATTTATTCCACAAGGATGCATAAAATAAAGCAATAAGCCACAAGAAGCCATGGTTTACAGTGAATAACAGCTAAGGGGCGTTGTTAGAAAACCCCCTTAGCTGTTATAAATTCACTGTAAACCACAGCTTCACGGGGCTTATTGCTTTTATTAAACGGTTACTCCATATACGTAGTAAGGTTTCACAGAATCAGAAAAGAACAAATAAAGTGTAATGAAATGAATAAAAACTGTATTCTTCCACCAAGCAATGTAGTTCCTCAGAAACAGTTATGGTTCCAACAAAGTGGTTGCCAAGCAACACAGAAGTAAACAAAGGTGTATGTTTGTAGTGTAATTTACAACAGCTTCGAACAACCAATCAGAATCAAGGACCGGAACTATCTGTTTTATAAGTGATCAGTGACATTTATAATGTTACAATAGAGTCCTGTTTTAAATAACCGCTGTTCTTTTTTACTTTCTATTAATCAAAGAATCCTGAAAAAATGTATCTCAGTTTCTGCAAAATATTAAGCAGAACAGCGTTTTTTTTAACATTGCTAAAAGAAAGAAATGTTTCTTCACCAAATTATCATATTAGAAAGAATGATTTCTGAAGGATCATGTCACACTGAAGACTGGAGTAATGATGCTGAAAATTCAGCTTTGCCTTGACAGGAATAAATTATATTTTAAAATGTATTAATATAGAAAACGGTTATTTTAAATGTAAATAGTATTTTCAGTGTTACTGCTTTTAATTGCATTTTTGATCAAATAAATCAGAATGAGCTTTCAGAATCAGAATGAGCTTTATTGCCAGGTATGTTTACACATACGAGGAATTTGTTCTCGTGACAGAAGCTTCCACAGTGTAACAGAATGACAGTGACAGAACAAAAAACACAGATAATAAAAAATAGAACAAGTAAATAAGGAATAAAAATATATAAATTGACAGTTGTATGTGCAGGTATATTACAATAGACAGTTTTTGTATGTACAGGTACTGTATATTATGTGCAAATTTGAGGTGTAGACTGAGTATGAGTGTTAGATAAATAAGTGTATGAGTGAATAAATAGTGTGTTCCACAGTTATTGTTAAGTGTTCATGAGATCAGGACAAACTAACAAAAACATAAAAACAACTGCGGAGCACGCCACGGAGGCAGCCATCAGCGTCGGCGCCATCTTACATCTGCAACCTTGATAAGCATAAGAGACTTTTAACAACCTTACCATCTCCAAACATTAGCAAACGTTACTTCATATTATCAACTGTGTTCTCTCCCATTGTGTATACTGAATTGTGTCCTTAATACATTGAATAAGAAACAGGGCTTCCCATTTGTTTTTAGTAGGCAGGGTTGGTGGTCAGGTTTGGGGTGTTTGGTCATGTGATGCAGAAGCGGGTCATGAACGGCTCCACAAAGAAGCCTTTGTTGATCAGACCGAGAGGATTTGGACTGAGCTCTGATGGGATAGAAATGGTGCCAAAGAGACCTCTCTCTCTCTCTCTCTCTCTCTCTCTCTCTCTCCCTCTCTCTTCTCTCTCTCTCTCTCTCTCACCGCAGACATTTTATTGGCGGTGGCGGGGTTAAAGTATCAGCTGTGATATAGTATTAAGGAATGCCAGTCATGTGATGCTCTCTGTTTTTAATGCCGTCACATGACAAGGTTAGCTGCAAGATCGTGAATGAATAGCTGGACTACACTTACCCCTTGTCCAAATACCCACACTTGCGGTCTTAGCCACTTGAGAGCGCGTGCGTGCGACAGGAAGTAAGTGCGCAAGACTGTCCCAGGTCTTAAAGGGGTCATATGATGCTGCTAAAAAGAACATTATTTTGTGA